CTTGGAGAGATAGGGGGCTTAGAGGATGACAGGTAAGGGGCATATGGTTTCTTTTTGGGATAATGAATATGTGCTTGTGGTGATGGTTGCCCAACTCTACGAACATACTAAAAACCATTGAATTGTATACTGTAGATAGGTGAATTGTATGGTATATGAATTATTTCTCAATAAATCTGTTACAAAAATAAATCACAGTTGTGAGGTGTATTCTCTGTTAGCAGCAAGTGCATGGCACAGGAGACAGAGGGAGGGAAAGAGAAAAGGTAGGAAAGCCTCCATGATGAATAGGAAGTTGTTGGTAACCAGGTTTTCATAAAATTCTTCACTAGTCTGACTGAGATTCCAGGGGCAGAAGGTTGTAGGAAGGGAGACATCACAGGTATAGGGAATCCCGGGACATGCTAGAGAAACTAGTGCAGATTGTCCAAATATAAAACCCACAGTATGGGAGGAACGGGGATGCCAAGAGATGAATTAGTCAAGTGGCATGTGACAGGACACAATGTTTGGTGTCCAGCTAAGAAAGTTGGACTGGATGTTGTAAGCGGAATGGAATCGCTGGAAGATGAGGAGCAGCTGAACAACGGTTGTCACTTTTGTTTTAGAAAGGTACACAACCACCAGTGTGGAAAAGAGACAGATGGGGATGAGCCTAGAGACAGGACAGCCCATTTATTTATATAGGCTGTTATAAATTGTTGTCACAGCCAATTTAATCCTTTGCTAAACATTAGGCTTGAAAACTGCTGCAAAGAGAAATCAGTCCAGGATTGTATCTTCAGGGCATAGCCAACATGATAGATGACAGACAACAGAGTAGTTGGATATAATAATAATAATAAGGTAAATAAATACATATACACACATTATACACACACACACACACACACAATGTAAAATGTTCTAGTGCTCTAAGAAAAAAAAAAAAAAGGACAGTCATAGCCTTTTATGAGTTTCAGCCAGAGCCAGAAACACGACAATGGCAGATCCAGAAAGATAACAAACTACTCACCAGAGGAATGGGGGTACTCGGATCAAACTCCGTGGAATTAGCATCTGAGGATTAAGAAAAGAGTTCAATAACTTATCAATGTTGCTGAAAATTTTTGTTTATTTTGTATTAAGAAAGGGCTATTAGCAAACTTCGGCCTTACCTTTCCAGTTAAGGCAGTTTCTCGCAAACTCAATCACTGCTAGCTGCATTCCAAGGCAAATTCCTATTTTAAAAAGCACGTATGAAAAGTAAATGAACAATGGCAGTTACGCAAAAGGTTAAACATAGAATTATCATAGGACCCAGCAATTTCACTCCTAGGCATAAACCCAAAAGACTTGAAAGCAGAGATTCAAACAGGTACTTTTATACCAATGTCCACTGTAGCACTACCCACAATAGCCAAAAGGTGGAAACAACTCAAATGTCCATCAACAGGTCAATGGATAAACAAAACGTGGTCCATACACACAATGGAATATTTCTGTCATACACAGGACATACATGTCACAACACGGATGAACCCTGCAGATATTACACTGAGTAAAATAGGCCAGACACAAAAGGACAAATATGATATGATCCCACTCATATGAAAGATGTAGACTAGGCAAATGTGTAGAAACCAAAGTTTATTAGTGATTACCAGGGGCAGGAGGAAGGAGGGAATGGGGAGTTACTGCTGTTAAGGTGATGCAAAGAACATAATTGGTATCACTGAAATGTAAGTGTAAGTAAAAATGGTTAAAAAGGCAAATGTTTTGTTTTATTTTAGGGGCCGGTGGGTTTCAACCGCCAGCCTTCTGGTTAGCAGCCAAATGCCTTAGGCACTACACCACCAGAGCTCCCCAAAAAAAGTGAAGGAACATATTTTGTGTTTATTTGTATATTGTTTGTTGCTTTGCTGTCTCTTTCCTCCATCTAGAACGCAGGCTTCTTGAGAACAAGACTGTCTCCTCTGTTCACTCCACACTCACAGCAGTCCCAGGCAAACACAGGGAAGGGGGTTAGACAAGCAAGGAGCAAGCTAACTGCCACATCCTTTTCCAGTTTCAGGAAAAAAGGAATGCTAGGGCAGAAAAGGAAAAGAAGCAAGAGTTCAAAAGGGAAATTCTGCCTCCTTCCAAATTCGTCCCCACATTGAGGTACATGTGTGGCTGCAGGGCTCTCCCAGAGTGTCGGCTCCTTCAGATACCACCTCACAACACCCTCAACTGAAGAGGGAGTCTTCTGGGGCTGAGACATCAAACAGGACTTCACTCTTCTTAAGGCAATTCTACACCCGTAGTCGGTCCTGAAAGAAGTGCAGCCGGAATGCTCCTTGGGAACGAGAATGGCCAGATTTTGTCTCACCTACTTTGGTCATGTTGTCAGAAGGGACCATTCCCTGGAGAAGGATATCATACTTTGTAAAGTGGAGAGTCAGCAAAAATGGGGAAGGCCCTCAACGACATGGACTGACACAGTGGCTGCAGCGATGGGCTCAGGTATAGCAAGGATTGTGAGGCTGATGCAGGACCAGGCAGTGTTTCCTTCTGTTGGACATAGGGTCGCTAGGAGTCAGAGCTGACTCAATGGCACCTAACAACAACAACAAACTACAGACTTTGCCTGAGGGCAACCTAGATAGGCTGAGGGCTAGGATCTAAGGAGCACTCACTGTGAGCAGCTGAGTGAGGAGTCTGTGTCAGACCGTGACTCCACACAACACCCCTATAGTGTTTATGGAATGAAGAAAAGGAGCAACTGAGGGGAGGTGGGACCTCCAATGTGGGTGTTAGTGGGGTAGAGAGTAGGGGAGAGAGACACATGAACTATGAACAGAGTTCAGTAACAGACTAAGGCTAAGGCACAGAGCTGTCAAGGCCCAGGCTGTTGGCACAGGGATATCCCATAATCCATCTCTCCATTCAATGTGGGCTCCCCATGCGTGGGCACAAGTCAGGCTAGAGATAAATCAAATGCCCATCTCCTGAATTTAGGCAGCTTACCGCCTACATGTGTGTTTGACTCTCTCTACTAAAAAAAAAAAAGAGAGAGAGAGAACATTCTAGATGTTATTATAGACATATACAAGGTTTTCTGAGATCTCAGAGGAGAGAGCAATCAATAGTGCTGGGTACATCAGGACAGAAGTCGATAAGCATGAAACAGCTGAATGCTTTGAGGGAACTTCAGAAAGTTGCATGTGGCTAAGACATAAAGAAATGCTGGGTTTAAGAGAAAGCTAAGAGTTGCAGACGATTCTATACAGTCAACAAAATTATCTGAAGAACCTCACCAAGTTTAGAAAGAAACCACCCTACAGTACTTAAAAAGAAAGTAATTCCCCAGATGAACTAAGATGGGTAAAACAAAACAAGGTAGTCAGGTTTCGCCTGTAAAAACAGACCCCAAATGGGGAACATCTAGGGAACTAATCAAAGAGCAGGCAATGAAGAAAATGAACAGTTTGCTGATACTGAAAAGGAACCAAGCCAATGCATTCTGTTTTCAAACCCAGCCAATAGATCCAAAGCACAGTGGGAAACGCTGCCTCTCTCCACTCCCCACACTGCCTGAATCCCCTCCTCCCGGACCGCCCTGAATCAAGGTTCCATGTCACCTACTTTCACTGGCAGGGGCCATGCATTGCAATTTAAACAAAAGCATTAATTAAAAAGACCAGAATCTAGCACATTTTAACAGAGCTGTTCCCTATGAAGTTTGATGGTCTTACTGAACGTATTTTCCCTAATGAACATGTACATTTCAATTTATTTTTTTTTAATTACAAAGAATATTATGGAGTTCTGCTGACTAGTTCTTTACTTGAGCATTGGTGAGACGCTGGGTTAGGGTGGGAAGTGGAAAAGTTAATGGCAGGCGTGGCAGTCCTGGCTGGTGCGGTTAATGCACTCAGCTGCTAACCTTTCAGCTGCTAACTGAAAGATTAGAGGTTTCAATCCACCCAGAGACGCCTCAGAAAAAAAAGCCTACCCATCTACTTCCAAAACGTCAGCCATCAGAAGCCCTGTGGATCACAGTTCCGCTCTGACACACAGGGTCACCGTAAGTAGGAATTGACTCAAAAGCAATTGGTTAAGGGCGGGTGGAGACAGTGACTCCTCCCAGCCTGTTACTATACAACCAGAACAGCAGTAAGTCCAGCAGACTGGTAGTGGACCAACATTCTCCGGAAAGACCCAGACAGGAAATATTTTAGGCTTTGCAGGCTGTAAGGTCTCAAAGTCTGCTAATATACTAAAAGCACTGCTATGTTGTTATTGCTGTTGTTATGTGCCGTCGAGTCGGACCCGACTCAGCGGCCCCTCCTTGGGCTGCCGAGGCAGTATCTCTATGGAAGTAGATTGCCCCATCTTCCTTCCGAGGAGTGGCTGGTGGGTTTGAACCATCAGCCTTCTGGTTAGCAGTCAAGTGCCTTAGGCACTACGCTACCAGAGCTCCCCAAAACACTGCTGTAGACAATATATAAACAAATTGGTGTGCCTGTGTTCTAATAAAACTTTATTTATATAAATAGACTACGGGCCAGATTTGGCCCTGATTTGGTCTTTGGGCCACAGTTTCTTAATCCCTGTAGCAGGCTATTTGGTGCCTGAACTTTCAAACCTGATGTCACACCTTTCACTCTCCTGTTAAGTGTCACCTCTACTAGGTGTCAAAAATCTAATATACTCACAGTTAGGATGATTAAAAGGAGCTCTGGTAGTATAGTGCCTAAGGCACTTGACTGCTAACCAGAAGGCTGGCGGTTCAAACCCACTAGCCATTCCTTGGAAGGAAGGTTGGGCAATCTACTTCCATAGAGATCCTGCCTCAGAAACCCAAGGAGGGGTCGCTATGAGTCTGGTCCAACTCCACAGCAGTGAGTTTTGTTTTTTTTTTTAAGGATGATTAATATGCATTTTACCCAGAAAAGGAATCTTCTTTGTCCTTGCCCAAGAAATCGCTTTGAGTTTTCCCATCGTTCCTCTGATTCCGAATCCTCCCGGCACAAGAATACCACTGTAATCAAAACAAGACAAGGGTAAGTTTGCTCAGCCTCTCTTCTCAATCCTTCATGCTTGCTGATCCCCAATCCAGTCTTAGCACAACCACTAATGAATATGTTTGAGGTCTATTTTCAAAACTGACTGCATGATTTCATATCCTGACCTTTCTTCTTGAAATCCTTCCAATGTTATAAAGAAGCTGCAAGACTTTCTCACAACTGACCTCAATATATATTATCTGATAGGCACTTGTGCATCTAAGTACAGTAGTAACTGAGAAACCCAATCCAATTAAAAATGCCACTAGACGAATCTGAATAAAAACAGGCTAAAGTTCTTTTTGTGCAGGCAGTGGGGGATCAGTGGTAGAAATCTCAGCTCCCATGTGGGAGACTGGGGCTCAGTTCCCAGCCAACACACCTCATGTGCGGCCACCACCCATCTGTAGCCACCAACCATCTGTCATTGGAGGCCTGCATATTGCTATGATGTGGAACAGGTTCCAGTGGAGCTTCCAGATGAAGACAGACTAGGAAGAAAAGCCTACTTACAAAAATTGGTCATGAAAACTCTATGGATCACAACGGTTGGATCTACAACCAATCACAGGGATGGTGCAGGACCAGGCAGTGTTTCAGTCCGTGTGCAAAGGGTCACCATGAGTCAGGGGACAACTGAATGGCAGCTACTAAAGATAAGGTTCTTTTCAAAGCACTGCTATCAAAATGTTAACATCCATTACATAATAAGAAAGGGTTAAACTGGTAAAAATCAGCCTAAGATTTCAATTGCCAATAAAGTAGTAAAGCAAAACCAAATCTCCTGCTGTCAAGTTGATTCCAACTCATAGCGATCCCCATTGGGTTTCCGAGGCATTACATAAGTAAATTGCCCAGTTAACTAGAAAATACCTTAGAGACCTCCCACGAAAACACTCATTTTATTGGAGAAAAGAACTGAAGAGAAGAACCAAAAGCTCTGCTGGTTACCTACAATATAAAACCTAGTAGCAAAGGATGGTGGCAAGGGAAGGGTTCTCACTCTTGTACTTTAACTTTTTATATGCAAAATGTATCTGTGCACCTTTTAGTGCAATCAGACCTCCTATGTTAAAGGGCAAAGTTCAACACAAGTTCTCTCTCATACCCCAAACAAGTCCAGTTCCAGTGCACATGCCACTGACATTAGCACAGCACATTTAAAAGTGAACATGGTATGAAGTCAGCGCAGCCACCTGCAATGACTGACGTATCCCAAGCTCCCTCTCGAATGCACAAAAATCAGTCACTGGGGTTAAATTGAATCCTTATGGGAAAAACACACTGGTACCTCCCAGCTGTCCGGTGTGTCCCTGGGTACTCACTCGGCTTTGCATATCTTCTGCCACGCTTCGTGGAATTTCACAGGGTCCTCGCTCTCAGTGGTCTGCTCTAGGTCAATCGAGTCTACGTACTGAAAAAGAATCCAACAGATTAAAAGGATGAAAAAAAAAAAAAAAAGACCCGCTGCCATCAAGTCAATTCTGACTCACAGCCATCCTACAGGATGGAATAGAACTGTCCCATAGGGTTTCCAAGGCTGTAAATCTTTACGGAAGCAGACTGCCTCATCTTTTTCCTATGGAGCAGCTGGTGGGTTTGAATAGCCCAGACACTTGAAGATACTATCCCCGTATCAAACTATGACATATCATTCAATAACTGCTTATTAAGCCAAACACTGTCTTGGGCACTGGAGAGAGAAAAACACAATCTCTTTCTTGTGGCTTTTGTGTGACAATGGCATGATGCACAAAGTAGAGAATGCTGTGGAAGCACCTAGGAGCCACATCTCATCTAGACTTGGACACTGGTGGAAAGAAGGGAAGAAGTGACATCAGAGAAGATTCTCCAGGGGAGTTGATATCCAAGAAGCTCAGCCTGGAGGATGAGAAGGAAACGAGGACATGTGTACTTATGTTGGGAGGAAGGTGAAGAAGGTATGCAGGGGACAAAGGACGAGGAGAGCCGTACATGAAACCTCAGGCCAAGATACAGCTTGTATGAAACCCTAGAGGAGAGGGGGAAAATTGTGGCTACTCAGGGACCCTCAGAAGAGGCTCCACCCAGAAAGAGGAGAAAACTGATTGGCTGAGGGAAGCAGTGTGAGGGATGAGTCATGGTACAGAGTTTGCATGTGAAGCCACTGAAATGTCTTGAGTGATGGAAACAGAGAGCTATGAACTTCAGAAAGACCACTCAGGGTACAATGTGGAAAATGGAGAGAAGACTGGCAGCTGGAAGCCAGTGGGGACGCTGCGGCAATAAGGCAGGCCAGAAATGTTCAGAAACAAACTGGGCTACAAAAGGATATGACTAGTGCTTGAATAACTTAATTCACTGGTTGGTCCCCTAGAAACTTGGATCTAGTACACATGTAATAAGCAGATATACTCCAGGCATTTCCTAGATCTGAGATCGAGTTCATTCTAACTCATAGCGCCCTCATAGGACAGACTAGAACTGCCCCATAGGGTTTCCTAGGCTGCAATTTTTATGGAGCAGATCCACCATGGAACTGCTGGTGGGTTTGAAGCTAAGTGCTTAATCATTGCACCACCAGGGCTCCATCCAGGGGGTGGGGGAAGGGGAACAGAGGAAGTTTCTG